AGGGGAAATTAAAGTATAAAGATAAGAAAATAAGTAATTGTAATAATCATTAATATTTTTCAAAATTTACATAACGTTTAGACTAACCTTCAAAACTTCTGAGTAACTCAGAACTTATCTTTAAAAGGAAAAACAGTTTTTTCACAATTTTATGTCCACAAATAAAACTAATCTTTACGATCAATTCAATAATGCAAAATACTTTACGGAGATATAGAAGGAACTGAAATATTTTTACGTAATTCTACTTATGAGGCCATTAATTTAATTAATTTCTAGTATTTATTTTTTATAAAACTTTTTGAATGTTTTTAAATCGTATTTACAAAACTATATGGCTATGCAGCTAATATCATTAATTTAAAACAATAAAATATTTTTAAAAATCCTATATAATATTGTTAAATGATAAATTTATAATGTAATTTTTTTAACCCATAATTTTGGTATGCATTGATTACTTTTATATCTTTAATCTATTTTATTTATGATGAACTTTTATTAATGAAATTTTTAATATTTAATCTATTTTGAATGCTATAAAACTGTATACCATGTTTTATTTCTTTTATTATTTATGTATTTTTCCTCAAATAGAAATTATATTCATAATTATAACTTATTACAATGAACTACAACTAATTATATTCGTCATACTGTACTAGACTAGTTTATCTATATAATTACATTAAGATTACTAAGCTCAAGTTTTTAATCTCCTTTAGTTAACACGTAATAAATACACATAAGCATTGCATGAAAATATTTCCACTGCATTACAATATTGTAAATATTACTTTTGATCTGATTTTAAATGTACTTGGACATTTTTAATACTAAATATTAAATGAAATAAATATATAATAATAAGTGACAGACACAATTTTAGCTCTATAAAAACATTAAAAATAATATCTTGTGACAAAAAAGTCTATCAGAAGTTTGAAATAATATTGCCGTCGAAACCTTTAAGCGAGAAGGTCATTGCCAGCAGGAGCCAAATGTTTAAAAGTATGAATTAATACACAACACTTGTTAATTTGTTAAATTCGATTACGTAATAAGTGCAAATTCATAACATAAAATATAAATCTAAAAAATATCATATCTTATAATCAGAAGCATTTTATAATTAAATATATCACAGAACTACTCGCTTCTAATTGCATTTTAAGATATATAATTAAAATAATCGTTATATATTTCAATTTTAGAAATCCTACTAATATTGCGTAAATCGTAACTAGTATTTATGGTGTTTATAGAATGTATTTTGATATTTTTAAACCATATATTATATTCTTTCATTACATTTTTTATTATTTTCTATTAATACAGTATTCAAATATTTTGCATTTTACTACGAGACATTTAAATTAATATAAGCTTTTAAAAGATAAATCCATTAAACATTAGGCAACGTTTTTAACAATAGTAAAATATTTTCAAAATCGCCTTAAACACGTAAATACATTTGCAATAAAATAAGAACGCAAAAGAAAATTTTATTCCATATGTCGATTCTCGTGAATTCGCTAAAGAAAACTGCTGATCATGTCTCTCGCTACATAGAGGCCGAAGAAAAAATGGATAGAATAAATAGAGGCCGTAACGTCGTATTACTCATCAAAGCACGAAACGCTAGACAAACTGGAACTTTAATGAGAAAGTAAGTGTGCACTTCACTTTATGGCTTACTTCGAGGAGAGCAGCAGGGGAAAATGGAGTTTGTTCACGGCTGTTGCTAGAACGAAGACGCATTGCCTGCGGATGTGCGTAGGGGTGTGCCAATACTTTGACTTAAGGCATTTTATATAACAATTAGCTTATATAATTCTGCTGATAATATAAATCAAATTTTATCCATATGTTCCCCATAATTTATTAAGAACAAAGGGACGATAAAACAAGGTGATCAACGCCTCTTAATAATTAAAATTCATAATTAAAAGTTTTAATTATAATTTTGGTGCGTTTTAACTAATTTAATATAACAGTTTATTAATTTAATACCTATTAATTTAGTACAGTTGATTTTAAAGTGTTCGATATTATGTATGCATATCAGTAGACAAATATTTAAAAAAACAAATTATTACTTTATCATTTGGAAGGTTTGTAATTATTAAATTAAGTAGGATATAATAGTAATTTACTGTCGCAGATTGAAGTTAATAATTAAAAAGTTAATTGCCAATATTAATCGTGCTAATTAAAATTTTATTGACATTGATAAAAATAGTAATTATTTACAACAATAAATACTTTATATATTAAAAATTAAAATACTACACTACTAGAATAAAGTAAAGATTGAATTGCTGCTAAAACCAGAGGAATACATTAAATATTCAGTATTTTGAAGTTAAATGAGGAAACTGCAAACAAAGGAAAAAATATCTTCTCAAGATATCACACAATATGTGGACAACAAATCAAGAATTAACATCGTCTTTTAGCGTTTAATAACTTATTTTTCAAATGGTCTTATTAAGATTTCTGAATGCCTTTAGAAAGATATATTTATTAAATTCCTCTTCACTTTAAAATAAAGTTTTTCTTTAAGTAATTTAACATGAATATTAATTAACTATTACTATTATATCTTTAAATCTCCTACGTGTGCTCTCATTAAAGAAATATTCGTATGTCTAATAATTTAATTTAATTTCTGTATTAAAGACAGCTACTTTACTTATTACACAATTTACTTGTTTACTTAACGCTTGTATACATATATGTATGTATGTATCACATATTGGATGTAAAAAAGGAAATCAAATCTTGGGATAATATATCAATTACAACGATAAATGGCAAAAATAAAAACAAATGTATCAAGCAATATTCTAATTATTAACTGGAACGGTTTCACACATTAAGCTAGTTGAAACAAGAATTTGTAAATAATGTTTAATTAAATCGAATCGATCAGATTTTGAAAAATTCCTAGATTTTGGCAAATTCCTAGATTTTTGCAATGTACCTGAATTATTCCGGTTCTTTTCCGTTTTCCGTCCAACAACCAAAAATCACAATTTTAAATCTCAATAATTACAAATCCTAAAATCCAAAACCTTAAGCATTTTACAGGAGGCGGCATGGACATTTTCATTTCTAAGCCGCAAAATGACCTTATTCTTGCTGTGGTCGCAACTTTAAACATCAATTTCTTTTTCACAAGATGAAAAATCATTTTGCGGTTCTCTCTAGAACTTTACCCGCTGTCATCGACAAATCTAGGATGATCGAAGCTTTCTTCCAGTCTAGCTCTATTCGCTGTTACGTAGTGCCCTCAGTATTACTAATATTCAATATTTTTATCTAATCGTATGAATATATTATGTTTTTTTAATTTGATTGTTTTATAGCTTATTATACTTGAAGTTTACTTGCAAGTAAAGGCCAGATTGGAATAAATATGAACATGTTGGTTATATAAAAGAATTCTGCAAAGCATGGAGATTGAGTAACTCACTAAACATTATTTATCCATTTCTAGGTACATCGAATGATAATATTTCATCCACTTTTATTTTTCACATTGTCTTTTTCGAATTAATTGCCATTCGAAAAACTTAATATAAGTATTATAACTACATCTTGATAACACAGTTAAGGAACAAAACGAAACTTCAACTCTACTTCCAATCATTCAAATTTTTGCACAATCCCAACTCTTAACTTAAAAAATAAAGGACAAACCATAATTACATCAACTTAATTCGTCGAGTTAAATATCGTAATCAATCCACGTGAGAATATAAAAAATTTAAAAAAAAAACATTTAAAAATGAGCGTGCCTCGTGGTTGCATCTACCAACATGTCTCATGATTCGCGCAAGCAAGACCAAGGTAATTAATATTCCGCAAATCAGTCGCATTAGAGGCAGCTGAACAAAGAATAGATAAGTCAAAAGGTCTATCCTAGAAAGCATAGTAAAATAATCGACATAACTGAGCCAATAAATAATAAAGTCTCGACGCCTTACTTCCGCGTAGGGCGCAAAACGTGACGAAAGTTGACTTATTGGCTGCTCTACGCTGATGCTCATCGCTTCGTGAATGTGACCAAGCAGTTGAAGGAGGAAGGAGGAAGGAAGAAGGAAACTCCGGGCAATCTTCCACTCTATCTCTGACGTAGCATCGCAGTTTTACCGTATGTTCATAAGACGATTTCTACCGATATTTTTAGAGACGTATGCACTATTTAATAATCGATATATATATATATATATATCAAACTCAACAATGGTCAGTGAGCTCCGTTGAGAATATTTTTTTCAATTTCTAAAATCAATTTTTCTATGCTTAGACACGTCCTTATATGTACGTGTAAAAAATAAAACAAAAGTACTTTGTTGTTTTTACATAATGAACAATATTTACATAGTTTTTGTTCTTTCAAAGATAATGCCAATAATGTAATTTTATGTTTATAAATTAATTGTCGTATCTCTATTCGCTAAGAGCAAGTGTGTAAATATTGTTCGTTATGATTAATTCGCACTTTGCGTACCGCCTAAATAACAAAAGATACTCTTCAAAAATCTATAATTGGAATCGAAAAATAAATTAAATTAATAATAGTGATAAAAGGGAAAATATAATGAAATAAAATACACTAAATGTTAATTTAAGGAAATATAAATAAGATTGAGGTAGATATTTGGAGAGAAAGAATTTGCAAACACTTAAATGAATGGTATTATAAATTTAAGAATAGTTATATCCCCAAATTATTTTTCAATGAGCTAACCGAAAATTATTATTCGTCCCCCTCCCTATCATACCATTCGTCTTACTATATCATACCATACTTACACATTCGTTGAATACGCTCAAAATAATAATACGAATGGGGAAAAATTATACTACAGGGAAAATAGACAGATAGAGATAGACAGATAGAGATAGATAGATAGATAGATAGAGAGAGAGAGAGAGAGAGAGAGAGAGAATACAAAGTAGAAAATATAAGAAATTATGGGAACACTCACCTCACATCTCGATGTGTCCAGTATTTCGACCTCGGTTGTAACACTGTCGATGGTTACGCTATGCCGGTAGAGGAAATCTGCAACATAGAGAGCGAGAGATTAGCTTTGACGGGGTGATGTATGGGTACGACGCCGATCCACCCGCGGATCGAATTTATCTTCGCGAGCGATCGATGCGGCAAATACCTTTTCCCGAAGGGGAAGTGGCATTGGCCTTTGTAATAAACGTCGTCCCTTGTATTTCACGTTATTTTTATAGGGCTGCTAGATTATGTGATATCGTTCCTCGTACTTTACGTCCAGAATAGGAGGCTGTTCTTTTGACAGGACGATGCATAAAATAGTGCCGACTAACACGTACTATTAAGAAATGGAGCTTGCGCAAGTGTTGCACTTTTTGGTTAAACATTCACTGCGGATATTGTGCGTATATGTTTTCGAAAAGCATACGAAAGAGGCTCTTTTTTGTTTAATTTCGTATTACGAGGAAAGATTGAGGTAAGCCACGGTGTTTGTTACGCATAATATTCTAAAATGCCCACTTGATACGTTTTAATTTTAGAATTTGTTGCGATGAGTAAGCAAAGCCAAATCTCAAACATCGCGAATTTTCCGGAAACCAAATGTTATTCAATGTAAATTACAACAAATATAAAGAAAAGAAAAAAAATTTGAGAACACAATGATTCTGAATTAATCGGCGAATCAACAATAAATAATATATATTTTTTAATCGCTTGCTATGTCGTAATCATTATAAAGATACAAAATTATATAATATAGAAAAATTTATGTATTATTATAATATGTAGAATATTTTTAATGTAATAAATTCAAAATTTTAAGAGAATGAACATTATTTGCTTGAACATACTTTTTTAAAAAACATTTCGTTATGAAAAAATAAATGAATAATCTATATTTATATAAGTGTAGTATTATTCAACAATTGTAAAGTCCAATATTTGGATGAATATTTTTAAAATAAAAAAAATCTTATTTTTATATTATTAATTTTTGTGATCCAAATGACTTCGTTAAGTTAAGAAATATTTTAAAATATTAAAATATCTGTAAAAACGTAATGATGTAGTATAATTGTGAATGTTTTTAGAAATAATTTCACATAACGTGAAATCGCATGAAAAAATTATTTTAATGCTAAAGACTTCTCGTGTTTATGCGACTACTATGGAAGTATGTAGGTGTTTCATTACATCATAATCTACAAATGTACATTTATATAAAGAAAACAACTTTTACCAGACATAAAAAATAATTATTACATAATACATGTAGCATTTAAGACCTAAATAATGTCAGTCGTTATGCATTGTAACTAATAGTGTAAATTAAAAAACCATAATAATTATGTAAGAAAAAATTGACATAACTATTGCACTAATAAAAAGACAAGTAAAATGTACGACGGTAAAGGAAGTTTGATGTAATTGTAATTTTTTAAAAAGAAATTTACAAGAAAATTTCCTAGTCCTAAAAATTTGAAGAAAAGAAAAATAATAATGGAAAAATTCAATAAGCCTGTATTGTTGGTGCGAACATTTTACGAAATAAAGTTTGTAAATAATGGGGATTTATTTTGAAAACATGTTTCCGGAATGTCGTCGTCGCCCGTGCCTTCGTAGTAAGAATATAAAAAACGAAAGCGTCGGGAGACAACGGCGACATCAGTGCTAAGTAGATACGAATAAAATGAGAGTAAGAAAAAAGAGGAGAGGGCGGAGGTTGGAAGGCGGAGAAAAGTTGCGTACCTTGTCTTTCACCCATGTACGCATTTTCCTCCCGTAACATAATGCCATAAGCGATAAAGAGAGCAAGATAATGTAAGGAAGATGAAGATAATGTTTTTTCAAAACATTGCCCTGATGTACAGGACTTTTATTTATTTCGCGCGAGCTATACAATATTCAACATTTTTAAGTGGCTTGGAACATTTATCAATCAAAAAGGATGCAAGGAAAAAAAATATATGTAGAAATATGTAGATTTTGTAAAAGAATCATATTATTTCCTCTAATTATATGTATTCTTTTTTATAAAAGAAAACCGATAAATGCTTATTAATATATTGTTTATTGATGTTACATCGCACTTTCATGAACGTATAACAAATTTCAATTTTTAACCGTTAATTCCAATCAATTGGAGCTAAGCTACTGTAAGCTTAAGCTACTGTACGACATCGATCCTTTACATTCTTTATATTTAGAAGATCATAATTAATAGTAATTTTAATATTTATATGAGCTAATAGTCTAATCACGATGTTTAAAACTCTGAATAGAAATCTGTTATAATTCTGTTCAATATCTGTTAAAGATAAATAAAATAATCAAAATTTGGATGAACGTTTTAATGTTTTTTCAAAATAAATTAATATATATATATTTATTTATTTATTTACGTTAAATTTATTTATTAAAACACTTCTAAATAATAACCTATTTTATTATGCTTATGATTACAAAATTGTATGTTTCTTAATGTATTTGGGATTCTATAAATCATTAGAACAATTATTTCATAATTGCATAGTTCGAATAATTGAGAATAAATGATTTGAGATGGAAGTCGCATATCACGAACTTTTTTCTTAACATCTAACGCACAATCATCATCATACGATCAGAGAGTCTTTATAATTAATCAAAACAATCATTACGCTAGAACAAAATTTTAGTTATTCATTATCTGTCGCTTTAAGTGTCATGTATACATAGAAGTTTCTACTCTTTTGTTTACAATAATACATATAATTGGAAGTCTTCCTTACCCAAGGCTAATATTCATTATATACCCATAGAGTATTACATACAATATTACTGGTATTAATATTAATATCGTTTTTTAATAATAATAAAATTTAATATTACTATTATTAAATCTCTAAATAAATTATCGATCACTAATAATCCGATAATTATGGGCTTTAAGTAAATGGAATTTCAAAAGTATATTACAATATATAATTAAACTGTATAAAACTTTTATGAAATATTGTAAAGCTAAAACTAAAAGAAAAATCATAATTCGATGGACACCAATTTTCAAAATTATATTAAACTACGGCGAATTTTATGAAATAGAAATATATGATAAAAATTTTACACTACAAAAACGAAGAGGTTCTTATTGACTTTGAAAATTATCTACAGATACATACAAAATAAATTTCCAACATTATAAGGAGCTCTAATCATGTTATAGATTTCAGATATTACATTATAAATAATTTATATTTAAAACATTTAATTTTGTAAGCGTTCCTAAATTCGGTTCTTTACTTCTTTTTTTATCAACATAAATTTATTTTAATTACATCGTTGACAACGACAAAATTATGTTATACCTTTCACTTTTCTGGCCAAATGTTTCCTACGCAATACGGCACGATTCATCTCTCGCATCTCGGTTTGTTATCTCCGAAAAGCCCTGTTAGAGAATTTTGCTTGCGTAATAAAACTTAGCAATCATGCAACTGCTCAATTTTATCGTTCTAAAAAGCTTCATGTTTTTGGCAGATATTTTATTGCAACTGTTAAATAAAATCATTCATTTACAGATGGACCAATGTCCATTAACTTAGATAAACTACTTTACTTATGTCTTTACATTTTATATATTTTTGAATTTCATATTAATCTACTCGAGTTAAAACAATATGTATGTTGAAATATCTTAATTTGTTTAAATATTGTAGATTTATTACTTTTTAAGTATATGTATATTAATTAAATTATATATGAATTAATTGATAGGAATTAAACTTACTCAATTGATCCCAAAAATGCATCAAGTACATTGACAATAATTGCTTTACAATCTTTTTCTTCAGTCATCAATGATTTGATAATCGAACCGATAAAGTATTAACATACAATACAATTACAGAATCCAAAGTTAAATCAAATAAACGTAGCATTTTTGTCACCAATATTATTAACAACAATTAAACTTAACTCTAGCCTCAAATATAGTAATATTTATTTTCATTTATAGTATGAGATATTTTACCAATAATATTACACGCAAAATAATGAAAAGATGATTTTATATTGAGTACGATGAACTATCTATAATATTTAATTGATGTAATGAAATTGTATGTTTTTAAATAAGAAGTCAATTACACTACGACTGAAATACAAACATTAAATCAAAATATTATAAAAAATAACAATTTTCGCTTAAGTATTTAAATATAATGATTATCTTCAGTAGATTATACCAGAAGCGTTTTACAAAATAATCTTACAAAGTAATCTAGAATGAGGCAATGGAATGAGTCGAAAGGTAAAATGGAAAATGTTTCGTGCATGCAGCCATTTTTAGTAAACTAAATTAAGATCCTTACTTTCGTTATAATAACCCGCGCGCTTGTCAGTCATTTCAGACTCCAATTTTTATATTAAAAGTATCTCTTCTTCATGGTTATTATCGATAAAAATACATCATGTTTAAAATGAAAGAAACTTCAAGAAAAGATTTTGAAGTGAAATATCATAAAAAAGATGTACATTTAAGGTAGGATGAAAATGTAAGTAATGCATTTTCAGGATAAATTACATTGCAAAAGTGCACAGAGCATTAAGAGTAATTTTTGGAATGGAAACTAAGTAAATATGAAAGAGAAAATGTAAGAGAATTCTAATGTACATTCTTAAATTAAAAACTGAAATTTTTCTTTTAATCGAACAATTATATAAACATGATTTAAAAATGAATTTAAATAACAAATTGAAAGGCTTCAATTTAATGTATTTCATGAATTAAAAAAAAAAATTATTCTAAGTGAAATTAATAAACATAGTATTAATTATCTCAATAATCAATTATCAATATTCAATAATCAATTCAATTCAATAATCAAAGTATCAATAATCTCAAATCAAATCTATTTGATTTGAGATTAAGTAAATTTTTTAAATTACATTGTTCTTATTTTGCCAAATCATTAACAGAAATTACAAGATAACAAAAATGTATAGAATTGCAGAATCAATTAATTTCCTGATTAAAAATTATATCTTATATAATATGATATAGCAATATATAA